AGCTTTGTAGTATATTTTGAAATCAGGGAGTGTGATGGACTAGTAATTTTTAATTATCATTACTTCTTATCTGTTACTGGTAGAAATCAGCTTATGTACTAATATTCTCAATTGATTAAATAATTTTTGGCCTAGACTTTTAAAATAATATTAACTTTGAGGCAGTGGTATGTCTTTAGTTTAAAATGTAACTGTCACTTTCCTTTTGGGCTTTCTCCTGGGTCCACCGACAGTGTGTACTGGCCCTTGTTCGTCCTGATCTTCCACGCCATCTGTCCCATCCCCCACTTCATTGCCAGAAGACTATCGGATGACTCGGATGCAACCAGCAGTGCCTGTCGGGAACTGGCTTACTTCTTCACGACTGGAATTGTTGTCTCTGCCTTCGGGCTTCCTGTTATTCTTGCTCGTGTGGCTGTGGTAAGTTTTGTTTTCTCTTGTTTTGCCCAGTTGTCGCTGAGTTTACTTCAAAGGCCCTTGTCAAGAGCCTCAATTTCATTCCCATTGCTTAGATGTAATACTCAAAGCCAGATGTATTTTTAGTTTCTCTGGTCCCCCATTTTCAATCTACCTGTCAGTATGTTGACCATGTTTTCAGAATGCTTTCTTTGTTTCTCTTATGACTTTTAGCCAGACCAAGTGATTTCTTGCTTTTTCTACTTTAAGCTATTCTCTGGAATTGTTCTTAAATCCTTGCCTCTTGGGGCAATCCACAGAGACTATAATAGCAATACTTTTCCAGATGAATACCATATCAAATTCTTCTCCTGCAAATAGGATCATGGACACAATTCTCAACTCAATGCAGTAGGCATAAATTGAGGGACAACTATGTAGTTACTAGAAGATATAGGGAATACGATGACATCTTCACATCCAATATAAAATTTTTTTTTGGCTCCAAAACACACTTTGTGGGTATAATTCATTCAATTTTTTGTCGTTCACTGTCTTTCATACTATTTGCTTTTGTTCCCAACTACATACTGTTTCAATTTCGTGAAACTCTTATTTGTGGCATTGAATATCAGATATGCAAAGTCTTATTTCTTCATTCAGTAAATATCTTTGGAACATCTGCTATTTGTAAGACACTAGGAATAAGAGCCAGATGCTGTCTGTGTTCCCAGAGCACAGAGACTAGCCTGATGGGTAGGTATGCTGTAAGTAGATTATGATAGTTGAAATGTGATCAGAACGCCATAGGAGCAGCAAGAAGAGAGAAGTTACACCTGGCATTCAATGTGGGCCTCTAAGGATGAATAGGGTTTTGAATAAAGTAAGGAAGGCTGTTGTATGGAATGGCATCCAAGTGTGAAAATGTAACCTGTGGAAGAAAGAACAATATGATGGAGCAAACGGGGTGGTTGAGATGAGGCTAGGAAGGCTGCTAAAGCCTGATTGGGAAGAGTCTTGCACGCCATGCCAGATTGAACTCCATCTGGATGATGGAGAAGCACTGAAGGTTTTTGAATGCCAGATTGTCATGACCTTATTCTTCTTGTGCCTTATACTAGTACTTCTTAAGTTTTGCTGTAAAGATTTCTACTTCTGCCTTTCAATCCTGCATCACGTTTTATGGAGAAACTCATTGATGTTTTCTACTGGTAAAATTAGAACAAAAAATGCCCACTAGAGGGTACTGTCATCCCCGGCAGTGCCTCTGGACAACCATCTGCCAAGCTGGAAAGCTGCTTTCATTTGCATGCAGATTATTATTTAGAGTCTTGTCTTGCTTAGAAAAGAAACAAACCAATTCATTTTTCTCCAATTCCTATTTTCATGAAAGAAGGCAATGCCTGCAGAACTTTCGGTACCCAATATTGTAATTGGTCTGTTCATAATCTTGCTACATGTATTTTACTTAAGGCAATCATTGACTATTGAAAACAAGTAGAGAAATATGTCTAATGGGGAAAATGTTAACGACGATACTGAACAAGCATCACAAAGTACTTAGACTAATGACTAAATAGCTCACTGTCCTCCGCCCGTTACGTTATTAAGCCTTTTAGCAGTTTTATGTAGTATTTCATTGGATGTTTCTAATGCAGAAAATAACAGAGATTTGCAAAGAGTACAGTGTGAAGAAAGTAAAGATTTAATCCTCTTTTCTTGTGTTTCAGATCAAATGGGGAGCCTGTGGCCTCGTGCTGGCAGGCAATGCCGTCATTTTCCTGACAATTCTAGGTTTTTTCCTTGTCTTTGGAAGAGGAGATGATTTTAGCTGGGAGCAGTGGTAGGACTTTGTTCTGATAAAATGCATTTAATTTCTTAGAATTCATACTATGTGTCTATGTGCACATGCGGCCTTTACTATGACATTTAGTATGCTGGTTTTTTATACCTTTATATCACGTTCACTTTAAGGAAGACTACGTGAGAAAAAGATTAGTTTTATTCTCATAGTCTGCAAATAGACCTCTCCCTCTACTCAAGGTGAATTCTGTTATTTGTTTGGCTGTTCGTATGGTCACGGTGCCCTCAGAAAGTACATGAGCACAGTCTAGTAGCCAGCTACTCCCTTATACAGCGCACCTGCACCTCTTGCCTGGGGCTGGGCTTGGGAGGCAGGTGACACAGGAGCAGGTCTCAGTTCTGCTCAGGACTTCCAAGATTTTTTGTGGCCCAGCGAGAGAGATGTGGCTCCCTGTTTGTGCTATAGAGTCTTGCTTCTCATCCTGTGGCCCATAGACCAAGAGCATCGGCATCTCCTAGGGGCTCATTAGAAATGCAGAATCGGAGGCCCCACCCTGGACCCAGTGCATTTTGTTGAGATCCCAAATGAATCGTATGCACATTAAAGTTTGAGAAGTGCTGTCATAGAGGAGTAGGCATCACGCCCAGCTTGTCTTCCCCTTGGTTGAACCACTTAACCTCTCTGAGCGTTAGCTGCTCATTTGTAAAAATGGTTTTACCTGCCCTCCTGTTGAGGCCTGCTTCATACTCTCTTTGGTGGAATGTCCAAACCTATAATATATAGGCTGTTCCACAGGTTTGTGAAGCGTTCTCAGTAGGGAACAGCTATGCCTTCTGAAAGGCAGTGGCTGTTTTCACGGTTCTGGGGGACAGAATAACCCACCAGGATGCAGAGAGGGTAGGCGGGGCTGAGACCAGTCCTACTTTAGCAGATGAGGGAGACTAGATGGGTAATACTGTTTCATTTCCCTTTATAATCTCACCCCCCCCAGGCCCCCCCCGTTCTGATTTGCCCTCCCTTCATCCACTTCATCGTGGCTCTGGCTTCTTTCTACATACACATGGGAGCCAAGTAAGCAAGCAGAGAGTGAGCTGCTTAATTTTCTTTAGATGTTGGTGGACTTACTGTCTTTCATGTCCTATAGGACTTCATATATAAATATATAACACTTTATGCCACTTTTAAATGAATCTTTGGGAATGCATGTCATGGTGGATCCTGTAATCACAGTTTTTCTAGCTCAATGTTTTGTCTAAGACCTTTTAAAAAAGGGAAATATGGGAAATAGAACCACTTGATCAGAATATAAGCAATGATTTTAAACCATTGTTAATGTGTGATAACTAACATAGATTCAAAACACTGAAGCCTTGATGTTTGTAGTCTGTGTAATTAGCACCCCTTCATATTCTGAAATGATGCTGGGACCTGGAGAAGATACCTAAAAGGATAATGTGCAAAGTTATATTTTGGCCTTGTGCATGATTTTATGTTTTCAGTGTTCTGTGTACGTGTAGAATTGTTCAAGTTGTTATTACCAATATTTATATAGAAAAATTATATAGGCACTATAATTTTAACCAGCATTTTTAGTAACACTTGCACTTATTGTAGTGTAATAAATTTCACTTTTAACACAAAAGAAAAGTTTAATTTTAAAAGTCTTTATTCTGATGTAGCCTTGCTTAAAAGATAACAAAAAAGTGAGAATTTCTTAGTGTTCCAAAATGGACAGTTTTGAGCAAAAATCTGTTCTGCAATAGAATAATAGCAATAAGTTTTTAAGATACCATTTTGAATGTCTTGTTGACTTGTAATAGCTTTTATTTTCCTAAGATGGAAATAGTGTTTAATTTACACTACCTTTTGCAAAAGTGTCTTTGTTGCTTATACACATTTCAAATAACGAAGGTAGTCTTAATGTGTAGCCTTAGAGCATTGCCTCTTGATTGTATTTCTAGAACGATATGAAATATGCATATAGAATATTTGTAGCTATTCCCTAATAATTGAATGGATTGTTGAACTGATAGATTATTGGGTTTGCTATGTGTCTGAAAACAGAGACGTTTATTCTGCAGCACCTGAGTATCATTTAAGTCATAAATGTGAACAGGAAGTATTGCCATATATGAACGTATTACAGTGTAAAAATTTCATCTTAGTGACACAATGTTGGGCATTGTTTTTTCCTTATAAAAGGTTCATTTTTTTTCCTATATACCGTAGAATATATTTCGAAGATTCAGAGCACATTGATTACATTCTAAAACTGAGAATACACATGAATTGCCCACAAGAAAGTGATCTTATGAAGGGATTCTCTATCATATTTCAAACAGCAGGCTCACAAGTGGACTTTGAAACACTTTTCTCCACAATGTTAGGAGTTGGTGGTTGAGTTCCCAGGCCAAGCCTGCTCAGGCAGGCTAAATCCTAAAGTGGCCAACCTGTAAAAGGTACCTGCCTGAGTTTTGGGTCTTGGAAACAGGGTGGTGTGAACAGTTTGGAGGAAGGAAAGTGTGCATTTCCACCTCTTTTCCTAGGAAGAAGGTCTTACTTCAGTTTTTGCAGGCCTGTCCATCTGCTCGTGCCCTGAGGGTCCAGGTACACTCCTGTGAGGTTTGCTGGCCTCCTCTCCTGACTTGGGGCCTTCTGCCAGCCTGCCCCGCCTCCTGAGGGTCTTCAGATTCCAAAATCACCCACCTTTCTACTCCTACCGGTAGTTTTCTTAGTAGAGCTGATATCACGTGGTATTAAGAAAGCAGTCTGATGGAACTCCCTCCTGGAAAGAATGAATGGCCTGTGATCCTCTTCCCCGCACCTGAGCCCCTCATCAATACCTGCATCCTGTGCTCACCACACGGTGCCGCAGCTGGGTGTTTACAGGGGCATCCTCGCGACCCAAGGACTCAGTCACGGAACATGGCACTGTTTCAAAGTAAAGTGAAAAAAGCATTCCAGCAGCTTATGAAAGGATAATAATATTCTGGGACAGAATCTCACCCCTTCCTCAGGGTGAGTTCTTAGCTGATCCGACTTGACGTAGCTATTTCTTTTCCTCCACTTACAAAACCACAGATTTTTCTTACAGTCCTCAAGAAATCTTTACCTCTGAGATATCCCCTTGATGAAGACTCTTCTAAAGGCTGAAATGTTTCCTCAAGTTAATAACATTCCTTATGCTCTCAGGGAAATGCTTAGATATCACAAAAATGTGCCTTTTCAAAGTCTGCAAAACTCAGATTTTGCACCATAATTTAACCAAAATATTTATGAGGATGCCAGCATTTTTCAAGCATAGTAATTAGTTCACAACGGGAAATATTTCTGTAGATGAATCTAAGTTGTGCATTTTAATTTTATTTTTTCCATTCTGTTTCATGAAGTACCCTATTTGCAAAAATCCCGGTGCATTATAGCTCATGACTTATAGTCTGCTTTCCAGTGGCTGTGCTCCTGGAGGAGAACAGTGGTCTGTGTGACCCCAAATGTGATGTGGAAGATCTCCAAGACTGCTTAGGAATGCATTATACGTGTATGATGAGGATGCTTACTTCTTAAATAAAACTTGTCATTTATACTTTCACAAGGACTTCTATGTGCATTATTAAACTACAACATTCATATTTTACTTTGGGACGCATTATGTTTGGAAAGGGGACGAGCAGATTTATTTTCCCACTGTTTTTTTTTGGGTAATCATAATGTGAATCTGACTCATTCTGAGCCTATACTTATCATAGGTGGAGAGCAGCAGTCCAGGAATGTGTGTCACTCGAGGAATCCAGTCCCCAGTTACAGCTGTGCTGCGGCTGACACGCCTGGGGGTGCAGGTGAGTGTGGGGCATGGTGAATCAAGAACTAGAAAAGGGAGAAAGACTCAACACTTTAAAAAAGGGCTGTACATATTCTGAAGAGTCTTTCTGTGCACTAGAGAAAAGAATGTGCTGATGTAAAATACAGCATAAGGAATAATGTGTCCTCCTTATGCACAAAGCATTTGGGGACAATCGGGTGTCTTACAGGTGGGTTTAGGCAGCTAGATCATAAAGAAACCGAGCTAATTATTTCTTTGTGTTGCCCAACTAAATGTAAAGTTAGATTTTTAATAGAAATTTGATAACACCAACATAACTAAAATGCCTGTAAGAAAACACAGCTCCCAAGGAAACCTCTCTGGTCCACGCATTTTCATTTAGAAAGCACGCTGGATGCGTTGAGACTCCCCGTCTGGGGCTGGGAAGAGGTCTGTCTGGAGAGATCATGCACCTGATATTTCAACATAGCATCTCTTGTTTTGAGACTTTTAAAAAATACCTATTTGGGGTTTTTTGTTTTTTTTGTTAGCTAAATGTGAATAATAAGGTCTTGTCCAGTAATTATAGTCGGGGCGTTATTTTCTTTGTGCTTCCTAAAGTGGCTCTGAAAAATTTCCGTTTATGTTATCAGCCAAGTTTCATCTTCTTTTTCTTTTTTTTTTTTTTGCAAAAGTAGAAAACAAATGCCTTTTTAAAGAAAAAAAGAACTAAAGTTGGTGAAGAATTTAAATTTCAAGCCATTCCCCACATTTTTAAGAAGTGTAACTTTATAGAAAATAAATTTCAATTTCTTTTAATTTCTCTGTAGTCCCAGGCATAGTGCAGAATTAATAGGTGACCATTGTGAAACAGTTATTCGTCTTCAGTACTGGGAACCTAGGCGAAGTGGTCTTAATCTTCAGATTGCTCGCCTGGAGGAGAGCACAGCTGGAGACTTTGCATAGTGTCTTTTCACTGTTGATTATCTCCATCAAAATTGGATGATTATAGCTGTTTCACACATTTCCTAGTTAATTATTAGATATTGTTAAATCAAAAGTTGTACATGAGGTCTAAACACACGTCTTAAGCTGGTGCTTGATTTATTCATGATCCCACACTTAGTATTTGCTGCGAGTCTCACAGCGGTACCTAAACCGATGCACGACAGCCTGTCCCAGCGGTGTGCTTCAGACGCCCCGTCATCTACTTGCTTTGCTGGTGCATGTGTTTCCTGTTATGGTGGCTCGTGTCACCCTGAGACCATCTAGCCAGAGGCTCTGAAACAGAGGGTCCCCACCAAACACTTGCCCAACATTTATCGCGTCTTTTCCTATAGCTTACCAGTAAGGAGAAGTTGAAGATCGTGGGCCAGATACACGGGCAGTTTGAAGATGAGACTTTTCAGACCTAAAACATCAGTGAGAGAAGAATGCAAGGTGTCTCGTAAATGAGGGCTAATTAATGGCGTTAATACACTTCCCACAAATTTAATTTGAAGTTTAGTTAATA